TCATAATTTGAATTATAAGTATAATTTGGATGGGAATAACCTTAACAGTGTCACTGTGCTGTTGCTAGTGGTAGAGAAAATAGGATTTTAGGTTGTATCTACAGAAATACTGAATACAAGTCTAAAAAGGTTATAATTTCATTTTACAGGTCACTGGTCAGGCCACATTTAAAATATTGTGTTCAGTCTTGGGCTCCGTACCTTAGGAAAAACATTAAATTGTTGGATAGGGTTCAGATAAGGGTTACTAGAATGGTACTTGGGAAAAAGAAGAGTTAGGGGGATCTGATTGAGGTGTTTAAGATTGTAAAGAGAATTGATAGTGTTGATGCATCATCTTTTTTCATTCTTAACAGTGAGAACAGTAAGACTAGGGGACACAAATATAAATTTTGGCAGGATAGGAGTCATCTTCAGCCTAGACAGTTATATTTTTCTAACAGGGTGTTTGGTGTTTGGAATGGGTTGCCTTCAGATGTTGTGGAGGCAGTAAATTCAAGTGAGTTTAAGAAAAAGCTTGATAAGTATATGAATGATAAGGGCTGGCTTTAAGATTTTTTAAATTAATTTATTAACAGTTTAGTTTCAAGGATAGAACAGCCAAGATGGATTAATAGGTCCCACATTGCCCAAAAACGTTGTGTTACATCTTTAACAAAGAAATTTGTACTTTATATACAGAAACTCTTAAATATTCAACAAGAATGTGAAAATAAAAGCTTTCACTGCCATTGTAAGTAATTCTTTTAAGTTTCTCATGTGTGAAATCAAATACATGCACAAAATTACTAAAATAAGAAAAATACACACTTAACTTTTAACATTAAAGAATAAAAATTATTGAACTATTGCTAAATGGAGAGAACAAACAAAATAAACAATAAATATTAAAAAAATACTCAATGCAATTTATACAAATACAAATCTTAGTGAAGATTTCAATTTACCAGCTGTCAGTGGTTGTCCATTGAAATACCACTCAACAGTCATGGTGGAATCATTTACAGGCGTTATTTGGGCTTCAAAGTGTGCAAATCCTCCCTCCTGTAAGTTGTCTAGATTATTCAACGGTTTGATGAAAACGGGTTTATTTGCACATAGAGATTCCTCAACTGATTCATAACGTTTATAACGCTCCCAGTCTTCTAACTGCTGGATGGCTTCCCAGCTTTCTGGGTGTTGGACTTTACTTTCAATCATTGCACGAGCTGTGAAGAAAAAAAAAAATATATATATATATATATGTGCGTGTGTGTAACTATTTATTTATTTACTCCATAATGCATTAACATGGTTTTAAGCCAAAAACTCACATACATTAACATGGGTTACTTAAATTTCAAACATCTACATCACATGACTTTGCAGGAAAAGCAAATGTTAACTTTTTTTTTCAGAAATATTGTATTCCTTTCTCTTTTCTGGACTGATAAAACCTTAACCTTTGGTCCTTAAAATATTTTTCTTGATAATAATATGACAGAGCAGTATATAATATACTGCATAGAAAAATTCCATGACTCATACATTTTCTTTTTATTGAACTGTAAGGTACTCACTTTATTTTGAGTACAAATCTGAATTAAACAAGAGCATTTTCTAATATTTAAAATAAACTTAAGTCTGATTCTCATGAACAAATATTATATCAAGCTTATTTTAGTTTATTATAGTGAATACATTTTGGGATGAAGTTGGTATAATGTAAAGCACATTGAAGTAACAATGTCATATCTATATTAAAAATAATGAAATGTTGTTAATGTTCAATGTTTCATTTCTATAGTTTTGCCCCTGATGTAATTGTGAAAGTGAAAACTCAATTTCAGAAATATATATATTCTCTAAGATTTGGTCAGCTTGAATGAAGATATGAAAACTTTTTTGCTGTTTTCCTGAGCTTGTTTCCATGTGTTTTTATTAACAGAGCCAGTAAAAAAAAACAACTGTAAAAGGCTTACATTTCTGATGACCTACAAAACAAATATTAAATATTTTCTTCTTCTATTTCTACTCTTAGCATTTGAATTAGAATATTCCTTTCACCGTTAAACTTCATGTGTTAGTTTCAGAACTTGAATTTTGCAATAACTGAAACAAAAGCAGACACTACTGATGTTTTCCTGTACAGAGGCATACTGAAACATGGAACAGCATGCAACACATTATTGTCACACAATTAAAAAACCTAACTGATGGTAACTGATAAATAAATATGTTTACAAAAATTACACAATACACAGTAGTCAATAAAGACCGTACACATAATTAGCTAAATTCTCAAAAGAACAGACATGTCTACTTGGAACAGCTATATATTGTTCAGGATATGTTCTAATAATCTAAATCAATGTTTCAATATAAGTTTAATACCTTTCTACTCCATCTTATTGACATTGAATTATGTTAATTAATTTCAAGCTTGTTTCATTTCTAACTAAAGCAGTTTAAATGTGAAATTAAATGTCTGTATGATAGCACAAAGTTTTCATGGAAAATGTAGTATAGTGTATAATAAATACACATTATATCGTATCTTTAGTAATATAAGTAGCATGTAATTCTGAACTTTTATCCACGTTTTTTTTTTCGTTTTGTTAATAAAATGACTATTTTTTAAGTTTAAACAATCAAAAGTAGGTTTAAACTTTAAAAATATGGAGGAAAGTATAGTATTTAAAGTCACAGACATAAGAATAACAAAAGCTGTGATTGCTAATGTGAGCCAATGATGTTATGACATGAGGGTCCAAAAATGGACAGAGTCCACTAATATATGTCCTTCCTGTTTATTTAGGTGAATGATGATGAATATGGTAATTATGTCATGTTATAATATAATAAATAATATATATAAGTAAAATCAAGACCAATAGGTGGATAGTAGAAGAACATATATCATTGTTTAATGATATAGTAGTTCTAAGTCAAAATTCATGTTTCCTGGTGATATAAGCATCATGAGGTAATTGAGGCTAACATGAGGTATTATTTAGGAAACATTTTGTATGTAGTTGTTGAATCCTTGAGTTGCGAGTTCCCTTTATAGATATATATAGGCCCTGAGTAAACTCAGCAGTATGTAATAAAATTAAGTACAATATTTTGTATTTCTGCAAATAATAGAAGATATTGTTCATTTTTCAATGGTAAATGTATTTGTGAATGCAGAGTGCATCGACATTTAAGAAGAGACATTGGACCAAGAAAAGTATGTTCTACAGATATTTTTCTATCTGAATAAGAACACAGTGCCGGTAAGATGGACAGCAATAAACATTAGTGGTTAATTTCCCCCCCTCCATATTTTATAGGTGTCTGACACCCCTGCCTTTTCAAGATTTCATTTCTTACTACTTTCCAGAAGGTACCAAAATGCATTAAATCTAAACCAAACTTTATTTCCCACAAAATCCTTAGAGATACATATGGAAAGTCAACTGGGCCAGCCACCCAGGTGTACAAATTCTTGGCTTACGAAAAAAAAAACAGCTGACCCCAAACTAGTTGGGATTAAGGTCGTAATGCAAAAAACATTCTTGGCTTACAAAAAAAATACCAGCTGACCCCAAACTAGTTGAGATTAAGGTCATAATGCAAAAACATAATAATATTATCCAATGTTCTGAAATTTATCTGACTAGTGTAAGCCTGACAAATTTATAATTACAACCAAATCACCATTAGATGTAAGAATGCCTAATAAATAAATTAATGAAATTAATAAGTATAAGTTATACATATATATTCTACTGGTTTATGCTATAAGTTATCATGGCCAAAAATTAGTCTTAATTTCATCTTTATATCCACCTAAAAACTTTGTGACTACAAAGTACATATTAACAATATACATTATATGTCAAGATCAGAATTACAAAGAGATATGGTATTTAATAACATTAGAAAGAAATGACTTAGCTGATGCAGAACTTCTTAAAAGGAGAGAGCAAACTAAGCAGTTTAGCCTATCACTACTCTTAATTTGTACACACACAATTTTAATATTTCAAACTTGATTGTCTCTAATACATTTACCATTTATTCATTACATGTTATTAGCTTCTGAATCTCCATCTTCTGAAAAATGTGAAGTTTTGTAACATTGCAAATTTCAACTTGAAAAAGCAAGTAAAGAGGAAAAACAGAGATGAAAACTTACGGCTCACGTGAAGAGTTGCTGTAGTAATAGCTTCTCCTGCTTCATTGCTTGCTCGGCACTGATAAACACCTGCATCTTCAACATTAACATGTAGTAATGTCAGTGCCACATAGCCAAACCTCTCAATGGTCATCACTCTAGAACCTGAGAATTTGAGATTGAAGAATTTATCATTACCTATATTTTAATTATATGCATAATCATATCTATATTAAAAATTCGTGGATTCTAGAACCTGAAAACGTTAGCTATGAAGCTAATATAATACCTCCATATCACAATTCCATTCAGATTTTCTGATCTGGAAGCATTAAAACAGATAATATAATAATATATTTTCACATGTAAATAGAGAAGTCCACTAATATATCTTCTTATCTTCTTTTGTTGACATTTTAGGTAACATAGACATTGGATCATTTTGATTTCAAATGGACTACACTTGTCTTATTTCTTGAATAGAATGATATTTTGCCATGTTGATGCCAGGCCTTAGTATAAGGACCAAAATGTCATCCCAATCAACAAACAAATCAAAATAATTCATAATAAATTTCAGCCCCTACACTAACATGTCTATTTTTTCAAGAATTTGAAACACAATCTAAAATCATACTAGTTTTTCAACAAATAAATACAAGCATTACAGATATAAATTTGTAGGCAGGTGAGATTTCAATCAACTGCTAATGCTATTTTTAACCTAAATATAAATTATGTAAATCTATTTATGAATATAAGTTTGCCCTAATATTTGTTTTTAATATAACAAACATAATTAAGTATTCATAAAAATTAAAATGTTTCAGCATCTTATTTTCATGAAATAACCATATTATTTTTGCTTACCTTCCTTGTATAATTCAAAATAAACAAATTAACCAAAATATCTCTCATTATTTAATTTTTTTTATTAAATTGAATTGTGATTATAAATATTTAAACAAAATAAGCAAAATAAAAGCTAATTATCAACATTAATGTTAATAATTAGGAAATTATTACCAAAAATAATTATGTCATTTAGAGTTATCCTGCCTAAAAAAAAAATTAAATGAATTAATGAATCAGCAAATTCAGTGACACAATGGATTGCTATAGTTTATGAATTTTTGTTTTTAGTGTTTCTAGCATTACTTTAAGTAACCTATGAGTTACATTCACAAAGAACTCTGGAAAGTTTTAGTATAATAGTGTAGTGAAAAAGAAGTAAATGTAAAGAGAAGTAAAGTTTTTTCAAGTCCAAAACTATGGAATACCTTAGATGAACGATAATAACTAGACTACTCATACAATATTGAACAAGTTAATGCTAATTTTTATATAACTCACAGTTCCAAACTGTGTTTCAGTGATTTCTGTAATTTAGTGTAATATCATGTGAACTAAATAAGTGTTAGTATTATCAACATAAATACAGATATGTACAAAAGTTCGGAATTTTGATGAACCATTACAGAGTGAAACAGTGATTTGTTAGGTTTTACAGTTTTTGTATCTAGTCCATAGCTGGTACTAAGGAAATTAATGGTATTTGAACTGTCACTGTTTGGCTAAAAGAATGAAATTGCTATGAATTTCTAATACTCAAATTATTTGTTTCCAATATTTTCTGACGAAAGGTAACTAAAATGTATTATAGCTACTCTCCAACACATGTGCAATGGTCTGTGATCCCAGTAGACCACATGAAGTTTCAATACATTTTCAATCATGCCTCAAATGGATAATACATTTATGAATTTTGTTCCCATCTCTTTAAACAGTAAGGATACAAACATAACATGAACAAAAACATTTTAGGAGAGGTAGGATAAAAATGTTTTAGCTAGAATATATCAAACTGTTTTTTGGGTTTTTTTCTGCTACTTCTCCCAAGGCTGACTTAACTTTAAATTCAAAGAAAATGCTTACCTTTGTAATAGAAAAATAAAACGTATATAAATGCAACTACTCATCTTTGTAATGGTAAAAAAGAAGCATTTAATATAATACAAGTGTTTATCTTTGTAATGGATAAAATGTAATATTTAACTTATGTTAACTTCAAATTAATTTATATTATCCTAATTATGTTTATGGAGCAAGTAGGGAGATTATGTCTTTATTAATGTTTATTTAATACTTACTGGCTTCCAAAAATCGTCCATTCACAAACCACTCAATCTGCATGGAAGGATCACCAATAGGAATGAGACGAGCATCAAAACTGGCTCGATCTCCTTCTTGCAGATGCAAATCTCTGAGATGAGTGGTAAATGCTGGTTTCTGAGGTGGTCTTGATTCTTCCTCATGAGAAACATGGGGATGGGAACGTTCAACGTGACGTAACCAGATGGTCTCACGAGGTGGGGAACTCCTACAATAGAATCAAGATTGATTACCATGATAAGCTGTAGAAAGCATGTGGATAATACTGAAAATATTTTTCATGAGTTGAGAAACATACTTTTGGCTAAAATCATCCACAATCACTTCATTAAAAAATGTATAGTAATCAGATAGGTTCACACCCATATCCACACAAATATATTGGTATACATACATTTCACAGTGTACATAATTTTAAAAATAACCAAGCAAAAATTGAGATACTCTTTTTTACCATTTCATTGAATCAAAACGAAAATGTGGGGTAACCTTCTCTAAAAAGTTCATGTGGGAATTGTAAACCTGTACATAGGTCACATGGCCTATTTAACAAAAAAAAAGTATAAATAAGACATGATTATATTTTGCAATTTGCTCCTGAAGAAGATTTTGCAATGTCGAAACATGTAGAGTCAACTTTTTAATGGTCATAGATTGATCTTAATTAAAATGTTTTTAATTGTGTACATATTTTAATATTGTGTGCTACTTATTATTTTAATGTAATTTACAATTTGATAATTAAAAATTACAGCAATACTTATTGTATTTTACTAATATAATGATAACTCCATGATTTCATTGATTCAAACAATATTTAAGAGAACCTTTTTTATATGAAGTCACCTATAAGGATTTAAAGTAAGTCTGTAAATTATTTGAAGTTGGGAGTCATAGTAGATACAAAGGCATCCAATGACAGAAGAACTTACTCTGGTCGTATAACTTTTGTTGGTCTAGGTAGGCTTAACTTCCAAGGTTCACCAGTTAATTGAGGCTCACCTAATTAAAATAAGAAACTAATTTTCAAGTAAAATTCAACTAGAAAGCTATTACACAAATATGAAGATATACCCAAACATATATTACTTCAGTCTACTTGAAAAGTGATATATGCTTTAATTCTCACTTTCTTTCGGCTCCTTTTTTTTTCTCAATCCAATAGACAGATACATATATTAGACAGATAATGGACAATTAGAAAAGAGCTAAAAATACACAGAAGATTTTGCTAATAAAAGGATTTTAATACTTTTACTAAATCAATATCCCATTACAATAAATACATAAAAGATAATCACCTATAAACCTTTAGAATTTATTATTTGAATTGGGTAAACCAAGTTTACAGCAGGATCTAAACTACACTCAATCTAATCTAGTACTCACTAGAAACATAAAGACGTGCACGAGTGGCAGTGCTTCCTGCTTGGTTCTGTGCTGTACACTGATACCATGCTGCATCATTAACTGTGACATTACTGAAGTATAAGCTAGAGCTTCCTTCTTGGGTTTCTGTTAAACAAAAAGATAAGATACATATACATTAACTACAGTAACTTAATATTTGCAAATGACTTCTTTATAGAAATAATTGTATCTAACAACCATATCTTCATTTCAGCAAAATAATACCAGAGTTTGAGTACATACCAAAATCATCCTACTCAGTAAAGCTCCAATACAGCTTTATTTTAAGACATATATACAAATTATCTGAAATTAAGGCTTGTCCAAATCACCACATATTCAATATCACCAGTACTAAGTGTTATTATCAATATCATTTCATTAATTCATCCACTAGTTGAGCATTTTAAATTAACGTTTTGTTTGTGATCTTTAAACAACTTGGTTAATGTAATTTTGTGATTTAAAATGTAAGAGAACACACTGCTAAAGATGATTAAAGTACTAAACAGTTCTAATTTACTAAACTTGATTATAAAATATATATATATGTATATATTATACACACATATTATAAATAGATATATATTTATTTTTCAACTTTGATTACAATTTAAAAACAAGGTTTTAAAAAGAAATATTTAGATACTCACCAATGACCATTTCTGGTGGACTGGAATAGATCTGAACACCATCTTTCTGCCATGTGATGTGAGGTATTGGAATTCCAACAGCACGACAATGTAAAGTCACAGGTTCCCCTTCTTTAACATGTGTAGACTGAAATCTTTCAACAAATTTTGGAGAAACAACTTGTTCTTTTTCTATAAGGAAATCAAAGTGTTTTGTTTTGTAGTCAATCAAGAAAGTTTCGAAGTTTATGAAATTGACAATAACCAAATGAAACTTAATAGTATAATGCCGTTTTTAGTTATTACAGTGGTTTTTAGAACCTGAAGATACCAATAAATATACCAACTTTCATCATTCTAAATTAAACCCAATTCTGGCCATATGTACAGACATAAGGATAAAAACTTTATCTTTAATCACCTAGGTAGTGAACAACATCATTTTAGTGTAAATGTACCATAATATAATCTTTAAGAAACTGGAAACATTTAGTAAACCAACGAATTTTAGTAAATTTATAATAGTTGCAAGTTTCAACTCATGCTAAAACTTTCAAGTTACATTTGGAAAAACTGGGTAACACCTGTCTTCTGTTTCAAGATAAATTTGACAAGTATATGTCAAATACTTTCATAACAATATAATACAAACACTAACTCTATTTCATGCACATTCAATGGATTCTAACCAACACAAATAACGTTATATGCTGCTTATTTTAAGATTAAAGAAATATAACATTAATTACACAAAAACAACATTATATAGGGGACTATTAACTCCATATTAGAAGCTAATATTTCATCAAGTATATAAAAAACATTTGCTCACCTATCACAGTCAAGTTTACTTCAAAACGAGATTCTCCACTTTTATTTCTTGCAATGCAAGTATATGTTCCAGAGTCATTTCGATTAGTTACAGTGATCATCAAGGCATGCATGCCACCCTCATTGACCAGAAGCTTGTGTGTGGCATCATCCATAATTTGTTTCCCATTGTGAAACCACAACACTTCAGGAAAAGGTCGGCCTGAGACTCTGCAATCAAACCTGACCATTTTACCTTCTGTCACTTCTTTTTGTGTTGGAATTTTGATAAAATTAGGTTTAAGTGTTCTGGAAGCAGTTATTTCAACATCATTTTCTACCATGCTGGTACGAATAGGTCTGACTTGTCTTGGTTCTCTGTAATCATATGATGACAAAATGTAAGTAAAACAGTGTCTAAAGATTTTTACAATATATCAGAACTGTGTTTTCACAAAATAGAAACGTATATAAGATTATCATGAGAAAAACTGGATTATGGCCAAAAATATCAATAGCAGCAAGAGAATCAAACTCATGAACAATGCATTTCAATCATTATAAAATTGTATATTCCTAGTTAAACCAGTATATTAAATTAATTAGTTACATCGTTTACTGGGATAATTTTCATTTGTGATCTATGTAGGTAGTTTGCTCTGATCAGAAGTCATTGATACATACTCTATAACATCAAATTTACAGGAAAAAATTTATTATTTAATTATTTCAGTAAAAATATGCATAAATCAATCAAAAGTAACTTCAAAATCTTTTTCTCTAAGAATTATAATTTACTGATCATAAAAATTTAAAACATACAAATGCATTACTAATAAGTTTAAAATGTTATGCTATGCCATCATGTGGAAAAACTACTGAAATTTTGAATAATGTCTTTTGGAAGAAGTAAGCAAATTAAGAAACATTATGTAATAATTTTACTGATAAGCCAGCATATAACACAAAAAATTGTTTGGAGTTGGTTCAAAAATTTCACTTGTAGAATTCTTTTCAAGTAAAATTATGAATGACTTACAGTTTTGAGATAAAAATTAAATTACCCTTTCTGTTGTCCATCAAAAGTTTCTAGCCGCTGGTTGCTAGTATATCTGGTCTCACTGACATTTCCCATGGCTTCAATGACTAGATGGCAAGAGCATGCCACTCGGCCTGAAGGGTTTTCTGCCAACAATGTGTAATATCCAGCATCTTCTGGGAGAACCATATGAATATGTAAAGTGGCTGTATTATCCTGTATGTGAATGGTATATCTCTGGGATTGAACAATCTTCTGACCATTCTTGAACCAAGTGATCTATACAGAATAAAACAAAATAAGTTCACAAATTCACTTTTCTTTTCCTTCTAAATGAACTTAAATCACTTTATTTTTATTGTAGAATTGCAATATTCTCAAAATATTTCTCATGTATTTAAAACTGAATATGAAAACAAAAAAAAAGGAGACAAAATCCTTAGACTTTTTATTACCCAAAAATAGATTCAACACAAAATGTCGCATGTATAGAGTGACTAAGTTATATAACTTCTTCAGAAAGCAATAAGTGTATGCTAAATTAGTGAACCTTAACAAAGTACCACATCAATCCAACAATACTTTATACATTAAAATACAGGAAAAAATCAGTCACCTTAATTTCAGAATCAAATTAACCTGATACAGTATAATATTTAAGCTATTACTGAGATTTTTGCACTGACTAAGAAAGCACTTCTAGTTTCACACATTTTCCTAACTCGAAATTATATTTCTATTCCCAATATTAATATTTTTCAAATGAAGCTTCCAAAACCTTTGATATTTCCCATAATTCATAAAGAAGAATTTATAGTGGATTCCCTAAGTTCATATCACTTAATGTGAATTTTTTTTTGGCTGTAAGGATGAAAACTGATACATACAACGGGTCTGGGATTGCCTGAGATCTTTGCTTGGAATGTGGCATCAGCTCCCTCAAGCAATTTACTGTTGCGAGGATGCTGAAGTATTTCAGGTGCAGTAGGTGGTCTTGATGTATCTATGACTGCTGGTGGTGGAGGTTCCAGCTCACCCTGTTGACGCTTGGCGGAGGATTCTCGAAATTCAATTTCTCGTAGAAGACGGTATTCAAATGTGTCCACTCTAAAGCCCTGGATTACCAAGAATAGCAACAATGAGAACAGTTTCAAGCAAATGCCTGATAATTCATATTAATTAAATAAAGGTTTTAAGTTGCATAAATGGAAATGTATCAAAATTTATTTGTATTTAAATTCTAGTTAAAAAGAAATATAAACTTTACAAGCAAATACACAAAATGTATCTAAAACAATGTTGAAGCTTTACATGGAAAAAAACAGTGTACTTAAGAGTACTTCAAAATCATCTTTATAAACACTTCACTAAGAGTTTACACTGTTGTTATGTACTTTATGTTACTATAACAAAGAATACCCCAGTAATCGTCCTTATTGTGACATAACTTAAAAACAATATATTTACATTATTAATGTTTTGCTCCTTTCATGATAATTTTGATAAACTCTGCTCTAAAAGTCAAGTCAAAAGTATAATTTTTTTCTAACATGAACTTGAAAACCACCATGACATTAAGTAAATGGCAAACTTGTGAACAAGCGGAAACCTTTTGGAACCTACAAGTATCACATAATTAATTCAGTAAGATACAATGTAGGCCACAACAAACCCTCTAGTAAAGAAAAACAAAGTTATTAACACAACAAACCTTTCTTTATGATAAGCTGTATTTGCATTGAGTGACTTCATTTTATACACTTGGCCATGTAAGTAACCCCATTTTATATAAGAAAGCAAACTTGAAACACACTATCCACAACATCACCATTATTTTTAAAAGTAAATGAATATAATGGTTTTGAGAAACTATAATCTATTTGTTTGTTGATAAGCACAAAGCTACACAGTGGGCTATATGTGCTGGACCCATCACAAGTATTGAATAAGTTTGGTTTATTTTAGGAAGATTGTAAAGAAAGAAGCTATTTGATAGCTTTACTTAAGGATTTGAAAAGAACTCGTAAAGTATTGTTTAACAAAAGAGTGTAATAAAAAAGCAATAAAAAACAAGCTAATGGGCCATAAAACCAGTACAATATAGTATTGCAAGTAAAGCATACTAGTTACTAACCTCAGGAACACCATAATAGAATGGACTGCCTGGTTCTACTTCTTGTTCTGACTGAATCATTTGTTGATCAAAAGGAGGTTGAATCCTTTCTTGACCAAATGTTTGGTAAGCACGCTGAAAAGTTGTTTGTTGTGTAAACTGATGTGTCTTGAACATTTCCTGTGATTGCTTGTAAACCTGACCTATAAAGATAAAAGCATATTATTTATTAGTTCGTTTCACCTTTCATGGGGTAAAGAGATCCTACAACACCAACCTTTCTTTATGCATTCTTAGGCAATGGTCTTTTCACTAAATTATTTTAAGGTTTCACAGATGGCTCACAGAATTTTAGGTATAATAACTTGATGATTAATTGAAGATAAAAATTAATTTGTTGTAATATCCACAATTTGAGAGCACAGCTCCCTTAAGAACAATATTTGACAAATTATAACAGGTTACTTATCTCATAATAACCATAATTCCAACCATACCCAACTTGTTTACATAGAAGTAACTGATCTAAAGTACTATTATTGACTTTATATCATAAAACTGAATATCTTAAAACTTAAAAAAGCTAATATATTCACTAAACAAGATATAGTATTTAAACATTAATATACGAAACTCAGTTCAATCAAAATTCTTGATATTATATTGTCAAAATTGTTTTATATAGAATTTTGATAGTATTTTCAATCAAACTAGTATTATTATTATGAGAAACATTCCAGTCTAACACTACAGCTAACTTTCTGTACACAATTACAAAGAGCAATTGACAAATACTTCATAACACAATATCGTTGAAGACCTATAACAAGACTCAATAAGTTGCAAAATAAGTGCATTACATGTCATTGCATAACAGCATTTCCAAATTTGCAGCAAACATGGACTATTTATGAATTATTACATAAAAAGTTAACAATGCATTCAAGAATGAATAAAAACAAAAATAGGTAAAATCACAAACATTCAAATATAACAATATCCAGAATAAAGTTTTATACTGAATAAATTAAAGTCATAAAATAAGAAAAGCATTAAAACCTAATATGATTCGAGAACTTTGAAAACAATGCCTACTGTACCTTGAACTTCTCTCTGAATACTGACAGTAAGGGAGGCTTCGCCTGCACAATTGACTGCTGTACAGGTGTAGTCACCATCATCCTCTGCAGTGAGCCCTCTGATGTGAAGACTACACACGCCAGTGTCAGGGTTATATGAAACTTGGCGTCTAAAAGGCAGAAATAATGAAACATGTTAATGATTAATTAAAACATGGGAAAAATGCTGTATTTTCATACAGTTAGTATAAACGAGGGAGTTTCTAAAATAAGAGTAGGTTCAATTCATGGTATTTTAGAGTAACATAGCTATCACAGCACTGTCAAGTTATCAGAATGTGAAACTACACACTCAATCAAAGGAAACGTGGCATATAACACAAGGAGCAGTATATGGTGATCAACAATAAATTGTGTGAATGCCAGTAAAAAGGAAACAATATTTTAATTAGATTCTCTATTGTATAAGACACAAAATGTATATCAAACTATATTGATAATATAATGTTTACTCAGATTTGTATCATGACTGAACATTTTCCCTGCATGACAAAACATTGATTGCTGGTGTTTTAGTCAAATTAATGTTAGATCTTGGAACAATATTACATGTTGGCATAAAATAAGAAGTAACCAAATTTTATAATATAGATTCATTCCTTGACAAGATTCTCTGTGCCCTATGAATTATGATTCAACTTAACCTGTGATACCAAATGTATAGTAATGAATATATTCTAGGGCCTAGTACTAGCCCAGATCTAAACTTCATTTCACATATACTAGACCTCCATTAGAATCCATGATCTAGATCTAACTCTTATATGCTGATATAATTACCTGTGCATTGGGTTTATATATTAAGTAGTTTATGATAGACTCCTTGTTTATATATTAGACTGTTCATATATATTATTAAAAAAAATATATTAATGTATATAAATATATATATATATAAGTTTTACTAGATCTCCATATACATATATATATACCTTTATTATGGGTTGAAATGCCAGATAAGGAGATCTGAATGACAACACACCAAGTATTTTAATATATAAGTTACACATGTAATAAATAAAATAAATAGTTAAAAATCAACTTCATGTTTTATTTATAATTATTTTATTTTCAAAAATTAATTATGTTTAGTTCAGTTATGTGGACCTGTAGTAAAATGTTTAAGAGAGGACAAAATCATGCACTTTGTACAAGGTTTAAACATTCGTTTATCCTATAGACAAACTAGCAATCAGAAAGTTTATAATAGACTCCCTCCTTGCAATTAAACAAGATATGTCAATATAGATTTATAGGTTTACAAGTTTCACTAAATGCATGATAGGTCATACTATACAAAACAGTTATCTGTTCATTTTTCTAAATAATAAAACACAATAGTTAATTGAAATACAGGAAAATGCTGTTTTCATTTAGTTAGTTGAATGTATAAGTATATAATTACATCAGTTTTCTTCATCTCTAATAAGTAATATTTGAACATGAAAAAATACATAAATCCACTTTTATTTATATAGAAGTTATAACATTTAATGTGCCCATTCTGTTCTTCATATAAGTGTTCATAGAACTGATTGATATGAAAATGTAAGTTGAGTCTATGTAACTACCCTTCTTTGTAAAGTGTATTTGACCCTAAATTTGGGATTTGATTACACAGAAAGTTAACATTTTCTTCTACTGAAAATGTATTTCCAATAGATACTTACCTCTCTCTGTACAAAAAGCTTTCTTGATTTATAGTGTCCTCTATTGGTGCAAATTTTCGCTCTCTACAAGCCTTGATACTCCCAATTATCTCTGCATACTAGTATGCAAATGGTTATGCAGCAACCCTCCACCAATAGGAGTGCACCACTACCCCTATCATAACTAGTGCCCTCTCTAATCTTGCAGCTGTTAACTACTTCAAGATTGGTCAGATCTCAACAAACCACACTGGAAGTGAGGAAGACAGGTGGAAAATGTGAGAGGAGATAACTATCTGTTGGAAATACATTTTCAGTTTAGGAAAATGTTAACTTCAGATACAATATCTTACCTCCTCTCACAAAAAGCTAGAATCCCACACTGTACCTTAAGAGGGCCAATGGGACGATGATCCCTATTTAGAAGGTGCCCAAATGTAACCCATGGGGTGTAAGAAGGAATTAAAAACAACACACCAGTGGGAGACTGCACCATCTCTTCACTCTTTAGTAATGTGTCACCAAAAAGAGGGGGAACATGGAAGGACCCCATAAAAAAATTACAGAAATAATGGTACCCTCTGGTGTAGTGTGGATAGAGTGTGACAGACCATAAATGGGAGTTTGACCTCAACCAACCCCTGTTGGCATCTGAAATTGTACATCAGGTCTGCAGTAGAAATAGAGTCCTCTACTTTTCGCCTCAAAAACAGGTACCAATAGGGAAGAGGAGCTTCCATACCAAGAACCCACCTCTGCATGTGCGCACCTTCAACACAATCAACACCAGATCCACCGGGAACCGACATCCAGCAGATGGTAGGAAGGTGGAGAGCCCAGGTGGGTGTTCCTCTCCAACCCAAAACCTGGTGACATTGGGAATTTTTCATCTAGTCCACAGTTGGAGGAGGGAACCCAGCCTTACACATGCAGGAATTCAAATGTCTCATCCTGCTACAACCAATACCAGATTCATTGGGAATAAACATCCAGTAGATTGTAGGAAGAGGGAACAATATTTAGGGCTTCATCTTGAGTCCAAAACCTGGCAGCATTGGGAATTTATTGTCTAGTCCATGGTAGGAGGAGGGTACCATCTAAACACGTGTGAAGACTTATGTGGCTGGTCCAGCTTCAATCAATGTCTGATCCTTGGGAAATGATGTCTGGCAGATGGTAGGAAGGAGGGTGCCTCAGCTGGAGGGGCAAACTGCAATATATGGTGAAGTATTACATCCAACACCTGGTGGCATCTGGAATTAAACATCAGGTCTGTGGTAGGAAGAGGGTGATGCCACCTACACCAGCATAATTCCACTGCCCTACTCTCCACTGAGTGGTATTGTGTGCATTCAGGAGGATAAACCTCCATGGTCCACCACCCCAAAGGCTAGAAACTGTTAAGTGAAGAGGACTCCAATACTCCACTAGAAGAAGGAAGGAAAAAATGTATTGGAGAGTCTGGAGAACCGTAGCACCAGAGACAGTGCAATGGGTGACCATGATACCCTATTTTGAAAAGCAGAGAAATCACATCGACAGATTCAATCAACCAACACCTGGTGGTGTCTGGAATTGTACATCAGATCTATGGTAAGAAAAGACTCAACATCACAGTCATCTACCATGGTATATGATCACTGATCATACAGTGCAAATTTAAGACTAAGTATACCTGGTCAGGCAACACTTGCCACAGAGCAGGATCCAAATATGTAATAAAGACCCCTGCAAAGAAAAAGAAAATGAATGGAGTACTTACCACTCACAGATAAATAGTTACAGCATTGATGATGTCTCTGAAGGGAAGATGGAAATGTACAGCCAGGGACATGGTAAGGTAAAGGATATGATTGGAAGAAAACATGAAAAGGTAACAATTATCTGGAGAAAGGGAAGAAAAACACCAGGTAAATTAACTGGCAATTTCAATTCAGAAGGGTAATGGGAAAAAGGTCACAGGAAAGGTGAGGATTTCATGTTCAAAACAAATGGGTCAGGAACCATAAAAGGGAGCAGTATGTGTCATATACCATCAGAGAGCTCTGACTGGGCAAAGAAGGTGAGTAGGATTGGAGTGGTCATAACAATGGGAAAAGGAAGGAAGAGAAATGAGTGTGATGGGAAAAGTACCCTCTCGAGCAGCCAAAGTCTTGAGCATAAAGGGATGATCAAGAAAGAGGAGAATATAGAAACTAAGAAAACAAAACACGACAAACATCAATCTCAAACACATCAAAATGACAATGTTCACATGGCAACAAGAGCAGGAATAGAAACTTCAAGGAAAGGTGATATAAAGAACATGAAGACAAAGGGTCCAATGGAGGACTGGGAAGAGCATGGAGAACAACATAGAGGTGCTAATCAAGAAGGGAAGCAGGGTGGGGAGGACGAAAAAACAGAAGGAAGGAAGACTGGCAACTGGAAAACACATGCAAAATCATTAAACCAAAAAGTGGCAGATAATGCTGCCCTATAGCCCACAACAGAGGAAACTGAAAGGCTCTGTTCAAAAAGCCAAGGCAAAAGGGATGGTAAATGACGAATAGTAGGATGGGAAGGAGGATAACCCCTTAGGATTGACCAAAAGTAGTACATGTACCACATACATAAGTAAGCTATCATGGAGGAAGAATGAACAAGATGGAAAACAATGGAAGCTACATGCAAAAATCAGGCCCTGCAGGCAATGGACCGGACAAAGCCACACATGAAGATAGAGTGCAGATACATATGGATGATGCACACCAGAGTGTGGCTGATAGAGAAGTGTCAGAGATAAAGGAAGAGAAAGAGAGGTGACACTAAAAACTAGTGCAGTAATTGAAACCCCATGTGATCCAGCCAATACGCAACTACCAGCAGGACACTACACAGAGTGGTCTGAAGTATGGCAAGGACACATTGGAGGAGACAAATAGGAGGCTATGCATACAGGTACTAATTCGATTAATTCTGACTGATAGCATCGACTGTTCCCGCCAGAGGATGAGGATTTGTTTGTTTTTAATTATGCACAAAGCTACACAAGGGCTATCTGTGCTCTGCCCACCATGGGACACTCCACAGAACACACAAAATGGATAGATCCAAAGACCATTCCAGAAGAGAGAATCATGTTGGGATGGCATAACCAATTCGTGGCCAAATTCAGGGCACTCAAATTATGACATGCCAACAAAGTAATGGGATGGCAGTGAGCCCAACACAGAAGATCCAATGTTTGAAAACAGAGGTCTGTTGACTGAGTGCTCCTTGCCTGGTGATGTACGAGACTATCAGAAAAACATTGGAGTTAATTATCACCAACTGGCCCCTAAGAGCCCATAGGAAATGAAGGAAAGCCCAACAAACAGCAAGAAGTTCCAAGAGATTAATATGGAGAGAGGACTCGAAAAGAGACCATCACCTCAAACCTCTTGAGTGTCGAGATACACCCCAACCGGAAAAAGAAGCATCTGTAAAAGGTGACATTCTGGATGAGGAGGAGGAAGAGGTACATCCATTGTAGTATTGTTCCGATCTAACCACCAGTCGAAGTCAGTTTATAAGGGAGGGGGGGGAAGGGTAAGAAAGGCATCTAAGGGATCCCATACAAGGGATCCATTGGTCTATCAAAACCTACTGACAATGACACATGAGGGTGTAACCAAGAGGAATGAGGGCTTTAACAGAAGCCCATGTCTCCAAAAGAGAGAAAACCTCTCGTGCAGTAGGAGAAGGAGAGGATTAGCTTCTGCATATAAGACATTCCATAGCTCAAAACTCAAGTGGAGCAGGTAAGACCTGACAGAGGAGGGAGGTGAAACAAAAAATTATGTTGGTGGGAGGAAAAACTGCTAAAGTAGAAAAATTAAGAAAGTAAAACTTGTGGATAAGTGAATCAAACCACGAAGGAAAACACGTCTATTCAATAAACTGTCAATCGAGAAGTGGTTATCAGCTGCAAGATTATAGAGGGCGCTAGTTACGATCGGAATAGTGTCGCACTCCTGTTGATGGAGAGTAGCTGCATGTTAGTATGCAGAGGTAAGTAGGAGTATCAACGCTAATGGCGAAAGAAAACTTGCGCCGATAGATGGCAATATAAGTCGAGAAAGCTTTTTGTGAGAAAAGGTAAGGTATCGTATCGGAATTGGTGGTGTTTGCAAATGATAAAAAGCTTTAAAATTGCCGTTCTATGATCAATTAGTAACGGAGTTTTCCAACAACACAACTTTGGTGATCATTTTTAAAAATTAACATGCAAGTGAAAGTCATTACAGGTCAATAAAGTTTGATATAAATCCATGAATTTAATAATAAATTACTTTTTAAAGGCCCCTGGATGGTGTGACAAATGTTAAATGTTGCCAAAGTGTTGTTTTTTTATGCTTTAAAACTAAATTCAACCTTTTATATATATATATATGCAAGTTCTTACTGAGATTATCTTGTAATTTTTTGTCTAAGGAAATGTTTAAAAAAGTAAGATTGTAAAACTTCATCTGCTTTGTTGTTTGTTTGTTGTTAAGCACAGAGCTACACAATGGACTATCTATGCTCTGTCCACCATGGGCATCAAATCCTAATTTTCAATGTTGTAAGCTTGTTATAAGACCTCAGACTTACCACCGATCCACCAAGGAAGTCATCTGCTGTGACCTAAGTCAAGTATAGTATACTGTGTACATTTTGAATGAGGCTTAATGAAACTAAAATAATGTCACTTTTGTTGTTGAACTATGTGCTACACACACAAAAAAATATTATGTGCCTTGTTTAATCCCTCAGTTGAAATCACTTGAATATAAATGTGTAAATACTAGTTCACTCATATGAAAATACAAACTAAGTTAGTTATGGAAAAATCTCAACTTTTTGTCCTGAAGATGGGTAGATTGGGGGTATTAAGTTACTTTCAATATTCGACTTTACTATTAGAAACGTATACATGTATAGAAATCAATATACTAACATAATTAGAGAAGGTAAAAACGTTTGCTGTAGCTAACTTAACGTATGACCAAGGGAGGGGGGGATATAAAATAAAATTCTTTGAGAATGGTTTACCCTACTTTCTTTGGATTTAACCATCTTTTCCCTCACTTATACTTTTGTAAGAGTGAAACCTAATATGCCATTGAACAGGTTTATGGTATGACTTTTTTACATTTATACTTGTGTAAAAAATACTATTAAAGAAGTTTATTATCTGGCATATATAATTTAGAATAGTTTAAATTGTTTTCGTGATGTGTAAATGAAATGTTCCAGTTATGGAAAAGGTTTGTTGTGAAGTTGTTCTGAACAGCCACTAGAGGGCTAAATATTACTAAGATATGTGGTAGGACCTAAGTTGAATTTGCAGAACTACATTGTACACATGAATATACACTAAAGCCTTTGGCGATTTTACCACCTTGATCTAAAATACTGAATGAATACAAATCATAATTTCGCAGCGGTTCACTACGGCAGACTAAAAAAAAGCTCTTTACGATACAACGTAGAAGACTTAAAATAATGCCTGCGCTTGAAAAATAAGTCATTAAAATAGAATTTGAAGTAATTTTAATAGCATGGAAACGAACCAACCTCTGGTCATTCTTTATTGGCATACCCCTTCTGGACCATGTGACCTCAGGGGGCGGGTTTCCCCGCACACGGCATTCAAAGTTAGCATCACCACCTTCAATAAATCGTCCGCCTATTGGGGGCTTTTCAAATATGGGCGGGGTTGCGTTAGGTGGTCGTCTCTTCGAAATAAGCCTGAAAATAAAAAAAACAATAAAATACTAGATTAATCTTACAGTTTAAGTTATCAAAATATGTTAGACTTCTAAAATTATTTAGGATAGTCAAAAAAGTTTAAATAAGTTTTCTTATCAGACAAAAGAAAAAATATCATAAATGGATAACATTGTAGCAAATTACTGTTCGTTCATTTTTATTGTTCTTACACCTGATTAGCAGAAGCTTCAAACAATATAATGTACCCAGAAATTCATCTTAACTTTTGTTTTTCACGAAATATTGCTGAATGTTAATACCAGTTACTTATTCTTCTTGTTGTTATACAGTGTTTCATTTGTTTGTTTTGTTTCAGTGCAAAGCTACACAACAGACTATTTGCGCTAGCTCTGTCCACCATGGGGAATCGAACCCCGGATAAGTTATAAGTTCGTCAACTTTTTGCTGACCTACCGGGGTACGGAAAGTGTTTTTCAGCGTCGTTATATGTCAATTAAAATCAACTTATGCACAGAGCATAAAAATCACGTTAAATACTACTTGTTATGAGAAAATACTATTCTTTCATGGAGTGCAATGATAATTTTGGTATATAATATTGTAATGATTGAATATCTTTACTGCTTAAAACATTATTCATTTGCACGAACTTTTTTTAGGTGCAAAAGATTCTAATAAACAGAAATATGAAAAAAGTTTGAGTCCAGAAGCGAGACATTTATTGCAACTTTTGTTACTTAGGTGACGAGTAAGTCCTGTCCGAAACTTCAGGCAAAATAATAAAGACGGAATAAAACGTTTTCGTTTTTTTCTGTTATTCATGAAAGACTACACAAGGACTTTCTGTCCTAGCCGTCCCTAATTTTGACATGATAGACTACGGAAAGGCAGCTAGTTAATGGTACCCACCGCCATCTCTTGGCCTACTTGAATCGAATGGTGGAATTTGACCGAAACTCTTTAAAGATTCACGGCCCGTCGTGCTACCAACAAGGTGGCTGGCCCTAACCTCCTTCCTGGTCATTCTGTTTGTTGTCATTTTTGTACATATAATAGTGGACATTCAGCCTGGAATGATGCGCAGTTAAATACACGCTTATTTTAAGCGTTGAGTATATTCGGCCATTTTGTTTATTCTCTATGGGATTCTACGACAGAGCTTCTCGTATTTTATTTTTGGAATTTTGTAGGTATGGTCTAAATGATTACCTAAATCAACAAGAGTTCTTCGTAGTTTGATTTGACTACGTGAAAACTGAATTATTTCAGACTACGAAGAGCATTTGTTCTGACTCTGAAATGTGTAGTTAGAGAAGAAAACCGAACCCGATGATCTTAAAAGTTCTTCTTCTGTTTGCTATGTCCTTGAAGACTAAAAATAATTGATACTGATGGTACATGTACCAGAAAGTATGAGTTCCAGTTCCACATACTTCCTTGCCGTGTTTCTAAAAACAAATCCTGCTCAAGCTTTCCAGCAAGTAAAGAGGTGTGTTTTTTGTGTGTGTGTGTGTGTGCGTGTGGTTAAACATTGCAAAGTCAATACACGTGTAAACACAGAAATTTAAAAGGACGTCTTTTCTCATTTTTTTTTCTCTCATAAACATTGCCATTAAGATATGTCTTAAAACGGCTCTATGTTCTAAATCAGGAATGAATATGCCCGAACCTTGGAGTATCTGACAAAACAATAAAATACAGTTCCACAAAACATCAGACCTCTGGTCATTGGTACAAGTATCTTCGTTGAACATAAATCGATTTAGAAAAATCTTAGGCTATGATCTTAAAGTACAAAAGTATCAAATTTGGAAGACCATGCCCTCTTGCGCTTTAAAACCTGTGTTATAAAATGAGCATTTAAACTTTGAAATGACCTAGACCCTCACATTTGGCTAACATATAATAAGCGGTCTTGAACTTAGTTATATACCTATCTGTGGAACTTCGACGGTTTTCATTCTGATGGTCTTTATTATAAACTATTGCTTGGCGCCTAATTTTCATTATTACAAGCTTCTGGATAAGGACTACGAAGTCTATTGAAACGTTTCCACAGACCATCCAACGGAGCTGATTCGATGGGCTTTAAAGCTAAATTGGTTTAGACATTATGCCAAGGAAATAGCTGCTGATTTCGAGGTGTGGCTAGACATTTGGTTTGTAAGCCTTTGTCAACTTCAAATCATTGTTTGTTATCTTGCTAACTGTACCCTCGGATTTGCCCAGCTTCATCGCAATTTTTTTGGGGGGAGTCGGATGGTTTTGTTTCGTAAATCTTTATTATCACTAGTCTTGGACATGGCACACTAATATTGAGTGAAGGATATTCTAATAAGATCATAGCAAAACATACGACACATCTTGCATATGATGCCCAAATTTTTGACCGGAAACCCAAGTTCTTTAAGACTTTCATCAATCAAGTTGCAAATCCCTCATTATATTTGTTGAAATTTTGCCATTTTAGAATATAAACACACACAAATATACAGATGGACACAAACAATCCCTACCAATCAGCAAAGCGGGCAATAACACTAAATTGGATCTTCAAGGCCAGTAACAGGCTTGGCCAGTTCAAACTTATCTATCTGGCTCTAAGTTCGGTAGGTGGACATATTGTTAAGTCAAACATGCACACTGTGGGCAGATGTTGTCTGACTCATACCAAAAGGGATGAGTCACGTTTTCTGACGTTTGAATTTGTAACTGAGTGAATTATCTGAAACTATTTCTTATCTATATAGGCGAGTTCTGCTAATATTTGGCAGTTCATACAATTATTTCCATACAAGGTAATTTTCATGTGAGATTACTAGTCCTACATATGATACTAAAGTCAAAATGCAACATGTGTGTGTATAGATATATATATACATATATATGTATACTGTACACAAAAGACTTCAACACGAAACGAAATGTGCAAATCAAAATATATATTGAAGTCTTCATGATTGTTTAAATTCACAAAAAAGGGGAATTTCAAAATTCTTACCAAATACTAACTTCAAAAATGTGTTGTTGTTTTTTTTGGTTTTTGCATAGACACAATAAGTGTAAAATAAATTCATTATACCTATGAATTTTGTGAGGGGGGCGCTCTAGGTCAGCTGTCTTGATTATGAATGTGATTATAAGGGCGAGATTAGGCTTATGACAAGTTAGCATAAAAAAGCAAAGCAACGTAATAACTAGCGTTAACGGCTTTCTTATCAAGTGTACAAAATCAACAAATTAGATTATTTATTGTTAAATGATAATTGCGAATAATGCTAACTTTATTTTTACAACATATAAAATGTTTACCTCAGTTGCGCCAGCATTTCCAATTTTAACGAACCATTTACTAGACAGAAGCAATTGTAGATGCCAGTGCCTCTGGGTCAAATTAACTTATTCCATGTAATAATATCAACATTATTCATTCACGTGAAGTTATTGAAAAATAATTCAGTAGTCCAAAATGTCACGAGATTTTCTGTGTAAATAGCTGCAGTAAGAATGTTAAAGCTTAGGTTAAAGTTTAAATACATTAACTAATCAAACAAATTTACAAAACAACCGTGAATATCTGGTATAGCGTTTTCGCGTGTTTTGTTTTTAAGCACAAAGCTACGTAATGGGCTATCTACTCTGTGCCCTCCGCAGGTACCGAACCCAATTTTTAACGTTCTAAGCCCTTAAGCTTACCACTGAGCTACTGGAAGGCACATTGTTTTCATGTTATTATGTGTATTGTTTCGTAAAATGTAGCAAGTTTACTAGTACTTGTTCTCTTTGGTTTTCTTGCTGTTTCAACACAAAAATCGAAAGTTCTAACAAAGAAAATTCTTACTGTGAAATGCGGTCGAGACTATTAGTATTCTAGCCACAGTAAAATAGTAACTAGAAATAATGTTTGTCTTGTTTCAGAATTTCGCACAAAACTACACGAGTACTACCTGCGTATAGCCGTCACTAACTTGCATGGACTATAAAATCACTAGATAGAAGGTAGCTAATCAACAACATCAACGCTAACTCTTGGATTACTATTGTCTATTTGAATAGGAAAACTTCACCGTTACTGTTATAGCGCTCCTGTGGCCCCGAAGTGCAAACTACGTTTTTACGGCAACGGATCGAGATCCATTAATCCTCAGAATCACGGTTGGTTGTTTGTAATTAAGCACAAAGCCATACATTGGGCTGTCTGTGCTCTGCCCACCACGGTTATCGAAACCCGGTTTCTAGCGTTGTAAGTCCGCAAACATGTCGCTGTACCACTGGGAGGCCAGATTCACGGTCCGGGAACTCTGACCCCTAGGCCATATCCATCCCTTCGATTAATTCTAAAATATGTATTAAAGAAACTCTACAAAAAACATAATGACCCATAGAAGTTGAGATTTTGGAGCCTCGCCAGGTCGTTATAGTCCATACTGCCACGTCCTGTCATGATTTATCTGGCAACCGTGCATCTGGACAATAGCTCTGCAGCGTAGTTTCTATTGCAAAGCTATCATGTCTAAAGCACACCGTCCTCATTAACCTCTCTAGTGTGCGAGGAGATGGTTTTCCAGCGCACGTTTCAACAGTCCGATCGCACAGAGATCTATAGACTAATTTGGTTGGATTTACCTGATCATACTCATAGTAAGAAGCTTTATAAGTGGACGAAGACGACTTGTACTCTTATATAGCTCCAGTAGTAGAGCACTAAACCTCTTACCCATAGGTCCACTGTTCAAGTCCCGCTCCCGGAGTATCTTTTCACTTATCGGCATTTTCGCTTAGGCATAGCAGATAACAAAAAATACTAGCTATCTGTTATTTTCTGCGTGTCTTTATATTAAAACATTAAAAACATTGAGTATGACTTTACTGTTAATAAATAACTTAATGTGACCTAGTAGTTAACATGCCAGGCTAAGGGTCAGAAGGTACACGTTTCGAGCCCTCCACATGCCAATGTATATGTTACGTGCTTCTAGCTGCGGAAGCGTTATAAAACTGACAGGCAATATTTAAGA